AAGTACAGGAAATCTGTCCACCACACTAAAGACTAGAATATCCAGTGAAGGGCCTGGATCCCACAGCAATGTCCTGCACAAGTCCAGCTGGAGGCCTAGAGCCCATGACAAGGACTCACGCAAGTCTGTTTCATGGCTCTGCACTCGGAAGGCCCAAAAGTCAGCAGTGGAAGCTAGAAAGTCTATGCCAGTGGGGTAAAGGATCTGTGCCAGGAGGTTCAGGGCTCTGCACTGGAGCCAAGTAGCAATGCTCAAAATAAGGACCCGGGCTCCCCTGAAAAGCACCACAGTGATCCTTAGCAACAAAGAGGTCCTGAGCTCCTCCAATGATGAGAGCAGCTGAGTCCACATCAGGAGAACCAACAGCTCAAAAAAACAAACCACTCAGGAGACCCCACAGTGCCACTCTTTCCTTGCCAGGTCTCCCTTTTATGCTGGCACAGTCCTCAGGGGGGCCATCCATGCCCAGCACCATGCTGATGCAGGTCAGCAGGTGTTAAACTGACCACCAGCCACACACCCACCCACCAGGATCTCTCCAGCTGTAGTTTTATAGTATGCTAAGCCTCTTCTGAGTCCCTCGTTTCTAGTGGAAGAAGCCGTGCACCCATGAGACCAGCTTTTCGTTATTAAAGATGATGGTTTCCAGATCAGTGTCCAGTGCAGAGCAAATCTGAGGCTAAGATACAGCGAGGTCCCCTATACTCTGCCCCACCCTCTATGGCCGCCCCTCACCCATGAGCCCACGGCAACACACCCTTCTCACCCGAAGCCCCCAGTGGATGTGAGGGTCTTGCTCAGTGTCGTCATCCTACAGCAAGGATCTGCTACTATGATGCCACCCATAGTTCAGCTGCCCTAAAACCCTCAGTGTCAGAGTACACCTCCCTCCCGACCCCAGGAAGCCGCTCATCTGGTTACCATCTCCATGTTTTCCCACAAAGCTCAGCTTCTGTTGTTCAGACTCTCCACCTGTGTCTGTCACCTCGCTTGGGGCTGCTGTCACCCCGGTGTCCAGTCATGACAAAGACCTCCCAGGATCCCTCTTCGAGCCAAACTCCCTCAGTCCAGACCACATGGAAGATCACACAGTGTCTCTCCCTAGGCTTGAATTCTCTGGCATAATTGGAATAAAAAATCAGTAACTTGGAAGGCCAGGGACTTAGCTCAGCAGCACAGTGCCTTCCTGGCAAGCACAAGGTCCTGAGTTCCATTCCCAGTACCAAAAAACAAATCTCTACCTTTGGAGAATCTCACAGCGTTCAGCGTGCTGCCTGGGCTCGCAGTTGTTTTCCTGGAACAAGAGACAGACACGTAGCCCAGCCTGAGCCGGTGTCCACTGCGAGGTGGCTCAGACGTGTGCTCCCAGGAAGGCCTATGTTCCCACTTCTGTGGGAGGGGCTCGGTCTTGAGATGCAGCCCCTCCAATCCTGAGTGGCTTCCCAAGCCTGGCTTCCTGAGGACCACGGTGCAGTACGCAAATCCCCATCTCCCACATTTCCCAGGGGTTTGCACTGAGGCGTCAGTGCATTCCCACTGCATTCCGAGCCCGTGGACCTGACTTTTGGGGCGGGAAGTCTCTGCACGCGTGTGTCTTTCAAGCCCAGTAAAGGCCACATTTAAAACCAAAGGAGTGCCTTCTCTGTGTGACACTGAACAGCTTGATCATTTACACGTGAAATTACTTGCACCTCACCAGGGCTAAACGGTCAACTCAATTAATAAATCCTGAAAGTTAATCCCCCGCACCCCCGTGACATTCATTCTACTTGGGAAGCGTTTGCTTCCTTAGCACAGAGAGGTTCTGCTTTGTTCCCACTGTGTTCTTGCTCCCCTTTGATCCACATCAGGTGAGGAAAGACACCCCCAGTTCACCGTCCATAGTCAGCGCAGAGCCTCAGTCTATTGTGCACCATTGCACCACGCTCCCTGTGGAGCTGGTGGGGCTCGTATCCTGGGAGGGTGCCCGCTGCATCCAGGCAGAGGGAACCAGGCCTCCACACGGCTGGGCCACGGAGACTACCTTCCTCTGCTGACACTGACCTCACCATAAACACCGCCCCTTCCTGCCCTGTGCAGAGCTGAGGGGCTGGCACTGCCCCTCCTTAGGGACGAGGCTCCTGGACATTAGGGACCTGGCTGCTCCAGAATCCCGTGCCCACCTTTCAGTGCAGGCCATTGGCCAGGATAGATGCAGACCAAGAGGTTGTTGGTTGGCTCAATCAAGGCTAAGCACTGGGTTTCCGTGCACAGCCCACGGCAGGTGAGTACAGCAGAGGGACCAGGCGGGATGCTGTGGTAAGATTTTTTTCAGTTTTACTTTTTTTTCCAAGACAGCAATTACAAGCAGCAAGTCAGCTGTGATCGTTGAAGATAAACAGTTTTGGAGATGCAAGAAGCTATAAGAATGTGTGAGACTATTAAAGACAACAGATACAAAGATGGGGACCCCATGGCTCCTTTTTTAGGAGTTTTTAAATTTGGAAATAATTACTGTAGCCCATTCTCAAATGACAGCTGACATGACCAAAATATTTTCTTAAGAGAAATTTTTGTGAGAATTCTGATACTACTGCTTCAAATTTTATTAACACTTGCGCCTCCCTAAGAGCACCTCAGGATGCCCTCAATACAGTGAGACAAATATACTTTTGAAATATGCAGATAGCTCAGTCTCTCACTAATTTCACTTGCTGCATGCTTGATAGGGTTAGCTTGACTTCAAGTCTTTATTCTTGCTGCCTACATAATTTTTATTCAACTGCTCTAAACTTACTAAGCAATCTTGATTCTAACAGTAATAATATATCTTTGTCACTGGTTCTGTTAATTCTAATGATTGGTCCTAGGCTGTTCCTCCCCTTCCTTTAGGAATGGTACCTTCCAGTCTCTCCATGTGCATGAAAAGTGACAAGCATGGGTCCCCATATTTCTACTTATTGGGCCACCCTAAAGACACGGTTTGTAAAATCTGCATGAATATTATCTTTCTCTAATAAGCCTTGGTTTTGCATATGTTTTTAACTGATGTATAATGCTCTTCCATAGTAGTAGCTTGTCTAATTACTGCTAGAGTTCTAGAAAATGTTCGTAGCTGAGATCCTATGAGTAGTAAGGATAGGATGTGTGAGTTCACAAAACTTTGAGGCGCACTGCATTCTGGGAGGCCAGTCCAGCATGGCCAAGCGGGAAGGAAGGCACGAGGGAAGAACAAGGCAGTACTAGCTGAGTTCTGCCCCTCACCTGCCACAAAATCGTCCCCAGGCTTTTGTGCAGATACTCAATTTAGCTCCTCTCAGCCCACAGCTCCAATTTAAAATACTCTTTTTGCACCAGACAGAAGGAGAGCCACAATAAGCAGACCTCCCACCTACCCAGGAACTCTGCACTCTACGTGGCATCGTGGGTATTTCCCAGGTTGCTTTGCAGCAGTTGTCCCATCAGGAGTAGATTGTCTTCCCTCCTCCTGCTCGTGCACCATGTTAACAGGAATTGTTTTTTCTAAAAAGAGGCTGTTTGTGACTATTTTTTGAAAGTAGTCATAACTTTATGTCTAAGCAGTACCTCCCCCATTTCAAAATGAATTCCCCAAGTATAGACAGTATTTTAGCCTAGCATCTAAAAATATCCTTCTTAAAATATAAACTATGTCTATTGCCTTGCACCTGTGGATTGAGCAACCTTTTCTCCCTTCAGATTTAAGCCTAGAGGAGCCCCTTACACACTCGGGTCCTGCAGTGGCCTGTGGCTCCTGCCACAATTTAATTGCATTGGGAGTTTGGTGTCAGTTTGGCATCATAGCAGAAACTAAAACACACGCTCAGTCCCCACAGTGAGCCATACAAGTGTGAGCCAGACTGACACACTTCTCATTCTGGTTTAATTCTACCCTGTTCACGCTGTTACAGCTGGGGCTAAGCTCGCCACCACAGGCTTTCCGCTAGCTCTCTGGACTTCTTCTGGAAACATTCCCTAGTGTTAATGATCTCGGTGATTACCATCTAGGATTTATTTAAATCTAACATGAAAGATAACATAGTTCACTAAGTGAGTTATCTAATTGGCCTGCTGCTAAACATTTCCTTATTAAACAGTCTATGCTGACAAAAATATCTGCACATACCCTGTCAAAATCCCTCCTTGAAGTATCTGCACCTAAAACCCATTTTAAGTGAATTGTTCCCCTAAAATATCTGTCTCTTGAGGATAACTTACTGATCTGGGAAAGCTAAATTAGGATGTAAAGGGAAAATTGAGTGTCCTAAGACTCTGTAAAGCCGTGGAGTGGTCACTGAGGAGACCTAGTCCAGTGGCCATGGTACAACGAGGCTTATTTCTCTGTTTCTGGCCTAGGAAAGGTCTGCTCTTGCTATATGATTTATGTTAGTCTGTGATACGTGGGGATGAGGAAGTCTGGATCAACTCACTTGAGTCACTAACTTTAAAGAAGAAAAGAAAAAGAAGGGGGCTCTGTGTGGTTTCTAGGTTCCACCGACTGATCACGTGCCTCTGTGATCCGGGGACCTCGCTCAGTGACTGGGGTCTAAGATTTCCTAATAAGAGGCTCTGCGAGTGTGTTCGTGGGCTCCCAGGGGAGACAGGGAAATCAGGTGATGGAACAAACACAGAGGCCAGTGGCAAAGGGTGGTGAATATCGGAAGCAGGCAGTCTGTTACGTCTGCTTAGCTGCGTCCCAGAACCTTCTCCGTAGACCATGACATTTCAGCCAGGCCTTGAGTGACAAGAACAACCTCACCAGAGTGAGGAGAGTTCCCAGGCTGAGGAAACTGACAACACCAATTCAGGAGAGCTGTGTCACAGGCTCGCTGGGAAGGGGAGGCAGCATCTCCGGAGGGGCCCTCTCCACCCAGCCTCTGGGTGTGCACAATGTCTGCAGACCCCGGGATCCTATTCCCAGCACCAAGGAGGGAGAGACCTTTCTGTGCCAAGCAAAGTTTATATCATCAGATGGCATCAGGAAATGTGAACTATCTGAATTGGAGAATATACTTGGGTAGTTTTAAAGATGGATTTTATTTCAAAATGTGGACAGTTAAAATGCAAAAGCTGAGGCCAGTGATGTGAGGGCCCAGATGAAGAGCATGTAGTGGAACTGGCAGGCGAGGGTGGATCTGGGAGATGTCTGTACTGGAATGGAAGCAACGGAGAGGGTGGCACGGTGACCAGGTCAGTTTGGACACACTGAGTGTCGGACATCTGGGGACACTGAGGGAGGCTGCTCAGCAGCAGCAGGAGCTTGCATGGATGGTGGGGGAGTCCCAGAGGGGACACTATCGCCGGGGACTGATTCCCTGGGGGACTGCACTGGGCAGAGTCCAGAGTCCGTGCGACACTCTCACACCTACACAGCAAGCAGGAGAGGCTGGTGGAGGTCAAGAGACGTGGGGTTGCCCACCAGGTCCATTTCCACCACCACCACAGTTCGCTGGTCATTGGGATGAGTTCTGCAAAAGAAAAGGTTTATTTTCAAGGCAGCTGCAGGAGGTGGGGGAGACCCAAGTCTTGAGTGCACCTTAACTGTGGAGGCTGGGGCTGGGGACGCTTCTGGGATAGAGAAGTGGGGTCTCCGCAGGCCAAGAGGGAAAGAGAGGAGACATGTGACGTGTGACGTGAAATCCCAAGAGAGGAGTGACGGGGACCCACCTGCTTTCTTGGCCCCAGACAGGCTTGGTGAGGTTACAAAGGAGGACAGTCGAAGGCCGCCAGGCTCAGAGCCACTTTCCTGCCTGCCGGGCAGAGTGTCAGCACAAAGCGCTCGATTATCAACAGCAGCTGCTGTCTGATGGAGGGTGGAAACAGCCTGCCCAGCCTCTCGAGGTCCTTCCCCACACGCGGAGCCTGGAAAGCCACCTCGGATCACAGGGCTCCGCCTGCTCAGGTCCATCCTGGGAACACACCCTGGCTTTCTGGTGGCTGTTTCAGCGGCAGAGCACAGAGGTACACGGTGCTCTCGGGTGGGGACGGTGTGCGGAAAGCCCTCTCCAATCACACGGCGCGGGAATGTCTGTACTGTGAAAACACGCCGGCTCTGCCTCATTTCTCTTTTCTCATGGCATACTGCATTTGAAATCTGAATTCCATCAAGAGTTTAAAAGAAAGTAAAAGTGTCCCCCAGAGATCACCCTTGTCAGCATGGTACAAAATCCTGTCACAGGTCTCCGTTCTCCAGCACCTTTGGAACCCCCTATAATCATTAGCACTGACAGCCAGCTCATTCTCTGTGGCTCCTCCAGATCTCCAACTGCCTTCCCACCTGGCTCGGCCTCCCTGAGCTCTCCTGAAGGGTCTCATCTGCTCCCCTGGCTCCCCCTGTCACCACTGTATGCGTGGGATCACTGTTCTCATCCACTGGTCCACGTGTCTTTCTGTGCCAGTACCATGCTGGTTTTGTTATTGTGTCTCAGTAGTATGTTTTGAAATCAGGTATTGTTATTCCTCCAGTTTGCCCTTTTCTTTTTTCTAAGATTGCTTCAATTATTTGCAGTCATTTGTGCCTCCTCATGCGTTGAGGGTTTTTGTGTTTGTTTTTTCTTCTGTGAAGAATGTCATCAGAAAGGATAGTGATGGGATTCTATTGAATCTCTAGGTCCATTTGGGTAGCATGAATTTAAACACATTAATTCTACCAACCCATCAACCTGGAGGTCTTTCTACCTTTTGGTGCCTGTGGTTTCTCAGTTACTATAGGGGTGTCCCATGCCCTTAGTTCATTCCTAGGAATTGTATTTCTTTTGTGACTGTCTTGACTAGGGTTGCATTCATGACTCATTTCTTAGCAAATTCACTATTGTACATAGAAAAGCTATCGACTTTTGTGTCTTAATTATTTATTCTGCTGTGCTATTGCATTTATCAGTTCTAATAGTCTTAATGGTTTTTTATAATTGACTTTATATCCTGGTACTTTACCTAATTTATCAGTTTAGTAGTCTTTTGATGGGACATTTAGTTTTTCTCTACATATAGAAAGAAACAGGCACAATTTGCTTCTTTCCTATTTGTATGCTTTGTATTTTTTTCTCTTGCCTAATTGCTCTAGCTAAAATTTCTAGTACTATATTGAATAAGAGCAGTCAGTGGGCAGCTTTATCTTGTTCTTGATCTTAGAGGAAATGCCTGCCGTTTCCCCTACCCAGTATGTGATTGACTGTGAGTTTGTCATATGCAGCCTTTGTGGAGATGTGACCCTTCTGTCCCTAAGTTGTACAGAGCCTTCCTTATGAAGGAATGTTGAGTTTTAACAGTGCTGAATTTTTTTTTTAATCTATTGAGATGATCAAGTGATTTTTATGCTTCTGGGGTTCTGTTAGCCACTTGTATCTGAACAGCTGTGTCTTTCACAAGATTATGGAAGTTTTCTATTATTATTTCACTGAATAGGTTTTCTATGCCCTTATTTTTATTTCTTTCTCTCTGGGAATGCTGACAGCACAGACTTTATCTTCTAACAGTGTCCCTAGACCTAGAACGCTTTAGCTTCTAGCTAAATGTGATATTTCAAAAGACCTCTCTTCAGTCTCCAATATTTTTTCTTCTGCTTGATCTAGTCTGAGGTTTTCAACATTTTTAAAAGTCTAGCCTCTTAATTTCTAAGTTTTATAGATGGTCCTTTTTCAAAAATGTCTGTGCCCGCTTCAGCAGCACATACACAAAAGTCTCTCTTTGCAGAATACTTCATTCATACTCTGATGCTGTTTAACTGTGTTCTCTTGAATCTCCTTGAGCTTTTTAATCATTACTCTTTTGAAGTCTTTATCAGGCACTCTATCTTCAATATATTTGGTATCTGTTATCAGAGTTAATGAACTTTAAAAGGATCGTATTACTTTAGGGTTTCAGTCACATTCGCATTCCTGTGCTGAGGCTTTTACGTCTGGTGGAATGAATCGCTACCACTTTCTTAGGCTGTGTTTGGCAAAACGCATCCTGGGGAATCAGCTAAACAGTTTTATTTGCAGCTGGGTGCCTCAGCGTAAGGACCTGTGGCTCTGTGGGCTGTGGCGAGTGGACTCAGGCACAGTGTGCATCACACCAGGCTCACGCTATCTGTCGGGTCATGTGGGAGTGGGGACAGCTCAAAGTTCAGGCAGGTGTGGTACAAATGGCAGTGCTTGGGGCTGCTTCTGCCGTGGGAGTGGTGGCCCCTTGGGTAACAGGAGTGTCTGAGCACCCTGACGCTTATTTGACCATGCTTCTAACCTGCACTGCTCCATGTCATTGAGGGGCCTGAACCTCGTGTGCTCTGTTGAAGCAATGGGGGGCGGAGCCCCAGCCCCTCCCCTGAGGCTCTCAACCCCTCTCGCTGCAGGGCAGATCAGGCTAAGTGAGGGCACCCCCTGCAGGGACCGCAAGGTACAGGTGCAGTAAGGCTATTATTTCTCTCTGCTGCTGCTCAGAGGTTGCCCCTGAGAGGTGGTAGACAGGGCCTTTGATCACCCTGTTGCTTTTATTTGTGGGGCTGGCAGGAGCTCGGGCGAGGAGAAACAGCCATCACTAAGCAGATTCTCTCTGGAAGTCTTGAGCTAAGCCGGGGTGGAGCTCCGCAGACAGGGGAGCTGAGGCTTTTCTCTGCCTTCATAGGGACAGGCACGCGTGTGGGGTTCTGACAGAGGGTGGGGGGCCCAGCAGATGGTCCACCCTCAGCCTGTGCCCGTGCGTGCTCACATGCAATGGCCGTGCCCCTGGCTGAGGCTGTGCTCCCCAGCCCTGTGGTTCTCATGAAAGCCACTGTCCCCTCCCCTCTGTTACACCAGCCCCACTCTGTCACACTCCCAGGGGATTGTGTCAGGGCCTGCAGTGAGCGAGCCACCCACTGAGACTGCCTTGGAATATGTGCAGGGGGCCAGACGCGGCACTGCAGGGGTTCTGACCCCTAACACAGTCCAAGCTCAGATGAGAGGTCCCCCATCAAGCCAGCTTCCCTGACCACCGGCGCTCCCTGGGAGATGAGCTGAATGAATGCCTTTTCCAGATGCAGCCTTCCCTGGGGTTTCCAGGCCTCTTAGCTGCTTGGGGAGCCTGCAAGGGCTGTGATGCCTCCCAGTGTGAGGACTGTGGTTGCCTGCATGTCCCAGTCCTGGGACCGTCTGTCTCCTTTGCCTCTGTGAGCGGAGACCCTCCTGGCCGTGGAGCCGGGCAGCAGGCAGGGGGTGTTTGGTTTCTCTTGCTGCACCGCTGGTCTCTGGTTCTCCTCCAGCGCCCTGACTTGTTGCTTGGTTGCTCTTCCTGGAGGACGTGAGGCTGAGGGTGGGCTAACAGAGCCTCTTCACTTCAGCTGTGCCTTTCTTACCGGTGGTGTTTCTGCTTTTTAAATTCCCGCCTAGCCACTTACAATAAATATAATGAATCTTTGTGTTACATGTGAAATGAAGGAAAACTGGCTAACTGAATGTCCCAGGTAATTGCTTCTGGCTCATCTGGCTTTTATTGTCTCTCTAACCTGTTTACTCATGTTGTAGCTGTGACCCGTTGAGAACCCAGGCTGCGTAACATTCCGGGGTTGCATCTGTGCTCCAGGGGCAGTGCAGAGGTACCGCTCAGGCTCCTGGACACTAGGATGTGTGGATGTGAGGTGTGGGTGGGACTCCAGGTCCGCCTTCTTGCTCTGGAGAGGGGATGCCACGAGGCGCTCCGATCCCTTCCACCTCAGGCACCAGCTGTGATTTGATGTTGTAAGGATGACAGAGAAAATCGTGGCATTGTCCCTTCTCCCAAGGAGCACAAATCAGAATGACAAGGGACTGAGATCAGAAGAACAAACGGCCAGGAGCGTGAGATGGGTTTCCTGGAGGACCATGGTCTTCAGCTGCCCATGAGGAACCACTGGGTATGGGGTGGGAAGACACAAGGGCAAAGGGCTCAGTACTCTGAAAGAATATGGGGAAGTGATTTAAAGGCTAAGAACTCAACAATGCGACCATAGTGTAGGGTCCCCTGAAAGCAAAGGGAGGAGCAATGGAGGAGCTTTCGGTGCTTCTGAGAGGCAAATACTGTACCCAGGAACTGAAGGAGATGATGAGGGACCCGAGCATGACATTCACGTGGCCAAAGAAGAGACATGGGGGTGGTGGGAAACATTTTTGGCAAAGGTTTGCCATCCTAGCTGCCTGTTAGAATTACCTGCAGATTTTGCATTGGAAACACCCGGAGAGGCTCCTCCCAGGTCAGGGCCAGCCTGGGAGGGGAAAAGAGTCGTGGGCAGAAGTAGCTCCCATGTTGTGACGTGTGCAGGTCAGTAGAATGAGCAGCCAGAGTAGGAATTGCGGGACTACTGGTAGACCCGAGGAGCTATGCAGCGCAGAAACCTCGGAAACTCAAAGATAAGGTGAGGAAGGGAAGCAACGGGACGTGAGATGCAGGAGATTTGGCAACACCAAGGCCCCAGAAAGACGCTTCGTGGCTAGTGGTATAAAGGGTATAAAAAATTTAAAAAGCTGCAAACATG